TTTTTGATACGTGGTGTAGGCGCGTCGAGTAGATGCACCGTGAAAAGACTCCTGGATTGTCTTCTTCGATGGGACCGTCGGCTGCCGGGTTGGAGTCATGTTGTTAATGGTCGATACGAAACCTCTGTCTTTTGGATTATAGCCAATTATATCTTGTTATTGCATTATGTCGATGATATGTGTCTAGACGACAGACACATCGACCAATAGGATACGTTAGAGGACATTTCTTCCAATTATAGATCATTCTCTTGTCGGTCATCCAATACATTCGCTAGAAAATGTCGGTTCGATGTCGGATGCCACCTACATGTATTTTTATTGGAGGAGGCATACATCAACTTCCTGATTCGCGCACTTATTTTGGAACCGAGGGAGTAGTGACTGAAACCCCGAAACCCAGCTCTAATGATAATATAATTCAATGCTGTGAGATTTGCAGGTTGATTTGCTGTGTATTTGCGATATGAATACATCTTTGCACCCCCTCAAATGACAGTCTAGAATTCAATGTAGTCATGGGCGTACAGTAAAAAGGGGGGGCAACTAGCATTCAATCAATCCCAACTAACTGAACACCTCAAATTAGTACCTTCAAACTTAAATCCCGGATATTACCACCGTGTTCCCTTCACTTATAGAGGTAATATCTCCGTCACAACAAATATTTAAAAAAGCAACAAATTATCAATTTAGATTCACACACAGCAGATATTGCGCTAGCACATGAAAATCGTCGTTGTCACAATAAAACTGGTCGCTTTCACACAAAACTAGTCGTTAGCACAATAATATCATCGTTATCACAATAATTCCGTTATCCGAGGCGTAGATGGACCATCCATGCCTCGAAACTTGCAACCATGTCTGAGTTATTCCGGAAGGCATGGACGATTGCGTTATCCGGATAATTTGGGTAAGAACCAATCAAAAGCTCGGAATATCTTGATACATGGACATAAATATTATATGTGGATCCTTCATCCTTTGAAACTGCGATACAGTACAGTGTAGCGGGTTTTTCTGACACGAATGTCGGCCACACTGTTGGATACTTCGAGTATTTATCACGCCGAAGATGATTTATACTACGTAGTACTATTTGTGGAGATAGAAGCAGACTAGTGGACTGCAGAAGGAAAACCTGGAAGTAAATTACTTCTGACTGACAGTGAAAAGAAACATCCAATCAAAACTGACTTCAATTGGCGACGACATCCTATGACGTTCCGTGACCAAATGCTCTGACTTCTACCTGAGGAAAAGCCTCTAATAGACACCAATTCCTCCTACATAGCTACCAGACACCGTACAGGGTGTTTCTGACTGCCTCCCAACAGCGTCACCCACTGTACACCGGAATTAGATGCCCGGAGTGCACCAAGAGGCTGGCGGTTAAGCTCTGTTAGTCCCACCACC